TTCATAACTATTAACTAATTTTTTTTTTTTAATTTCATAATGTCATAGACCCATGAATACACTGACGCTCAGAGGCCAGTTCAGTTTTGCTGAAATTCACTCGTGGGTTGTGTTTTGCTTGCCTGAGGTGCCTGAAAAGACTCCCGCTGGAGAGAGCATCACCTTTTATTTTCAGAACACCTTCCTGGGTACACAGCTTGAAAGTACTTACAGGTAAAATACAGTTACTAAGCGCAATGTGACTACACTGGGGCTTTTGTCTTTTTCATTCTTGACCAGTCTGCAAGTACAGTACAATTTCATGCACATACTACTGTTCCCCTCTCTGCCCTCAGCCTCATCAAAACTCCCATTAAAGAGAATAGGAATCTTTCTTAAAAAGGATTGTCAAACATTACCAGGGCTGAGCACTATCCAGTAATGATGCAATCTGCAACTTGAATAGGGTTTTTCTTGAAGTTGGTCCAAAAAACAAAATCGGCAGGGAGGAAAGGCTTGGTACATTTTTAAGGTGATGGCTTGCTTTTAGAATTTAAAGAAGATAGCTAATTAATATAGTGAAATTATTGTGTAATGCCTATTGTTTTCTAACTTCCTTTTTTTTGTATTGAGGAGCAGAAATAAAAGGCATTTAACACTCATGCAAACAAAAATGTGATAAACATTAAGCTGAAAACCTTCCTTTTCTGCAACTTATATTAGGCAGATACTATTTCTGTGTTTAAGATTAATACTCTGTTCTCAAGTTAATTAGTTATATCTTCCTTCAGTAAAGTATATACATCCACCTGAAAAAGGAACTGTAAAGAGGGGGAAAATTAATTTTTGTAATTTTACAGATCCCAGCCTGCTCCCAGCCTACCATACGTGTTGTCTACTCATAATGTAGAAAGTTGTTGGGTGGTGGTTTTTGGGGGGGAAGGGGAGAGTGTTTTTTCTCCTTTCTGGTATCGAAGCTTGCTGTTTGGCTTCAAGGTATTGCAATGATAAAACTCAGGAGGAATGAATACAGTCAGAAATCTTACTTGTATAACCTTAGTGCCATACAATACAGATAACTGCTTTGTGTATACCTGCGATTCCTGTATCCTGCTTTGTCTTTTTTACTGGAACAAACTGTTCTCTGTCAAGATTACACTGGGAAGGAGGGAATAGCATAGGTGTGTATACAGCCACCTGATATATGGAGAATTGTTACAGCCTTTATAGAGGTTGCTTTTTTTGAGTTGGGCATTAATTTACAGGCCTTCTGTTTTAACGTAGGGACAAATCTAATGCATGCATGTGTGTTTAAGTTTGTTCATTTAAAGTTTTTCTTCCTTTGTAGAAAAGGTGAGGGATGTTTTAAGTCTGACAACATTTCGACAATATCCATCCTAAAAGATGTGCTTTCCAAAGAGGCTACTAAAAGGAAGATTAATCTCAACATATCATATGGTAAAACTTTCTTCTCTGTTTTGTTGTCCTTGACTTCATTTTGTATTCTTATAAATGGAATATGTAATATGTATTATTCATTTGCTTCTTGGGTTTTTTTTGGCTCTCTACTAGACATACATGAAGAATCTGTGAGGCACACATTAAAGCTTATCCACCCTAAATTAGAGTATCAGCAGCTGCTGGCGAAGAAGGTTCACTTAATAGATGCTCTGAGAGTAAGTATGTGAACTCCCGTGGAAGGATTTTTATGGGGGATTATGTTGTCAGGTACCAAGCTGTAGGGCTCAAGTCAGATGTGTGTCACACTGGTATCTGTTCCGTTTCTGTTCCCAGGACATGTATTTTAATTATCTAGGAGACAGACTTCTTCAAGTGGAATTCCCATTTGTGCTATATAACTAGTGAATAACACATAGGATTACTGACTGAAGTTGAGGATGCTTAAATCGGACAGTAGAAGGCAGCCAGCTTTATTGTCTAACATTCTCTTTTTGCCTGCTGTGATTTTCCAGTTCCTTCTCTGTCTCCTTCCACTAACTTTTAAAAGTTTTTTAGATCTGGGGATGATCATCCAGGCCAGATGCGACTTTCTTGCCTTGGAACTTCATCCCAGTGTGTCATAATTTCTGAATTATCTGCTTATTAATCTTTTGCTTAATACCCTCCACAGTGATTAGTGTTTGGGAGGTACGAGTTAGGCAGTGTGTCTCACTTCTTGGACTTTTTCCAACAACCAGGATTTTACCATCAAAAACTTGCCATCGTCTCTTTTGGTTTTTGTTTTTTTTTTTGAGGGGGAGAGAAGATGAAAATGGACAACCAATTCTCTCTTGTCCTTTGGGGGAATCAAATATTAGTTGTCAACTGTTTAGTTAGTGTAGAAAAACTGACTACCAATGAGATGAAAATGGACAACCAATTCTCTCTTGTCCTTTGGGGGAATCAAATATTAGTTGTCAGAACTGTTTAGTTAGTAGAAAAACTGACTACCAATGAGAATACTGCGCATCTTTATTATCACTAAAAGTATTTTATTTGGGCTTGATTTGGCAAACCAGGGAGGCAGAGAATAATAGAGGATTTATTCTTAATGCCTGTTATGTTTGTGCAAGAATAACGATGATGCACATCTTGCTTGTTTTAGGCTTTTTTTAGGCAGTAAATCTTCTTTGACATATCTTTTTTGACAACTTTTTTTGTCACTCTTTTTTTTTGATAATAACTTCTTCATAGGCAGTAAAATAATCTGATGATTGATGAAAGCTGTTATCCCAGCAGACTCACGATGCAAGGCATAATTACCTTTCGCCTAGAAAAGAACAGTCTTTCTGTGGGGGATAAAAAGATCTATACTATTGACCGTCTTAAATTGGTCTGGTGGTAGACTGGGGCATTTTAGAAGAGGTCTTTAAAACTTTTTGCTGTCACGAATTGAGTGATACTTTTAGAGTTTACTTTTACCTTCAGACTGTAGCATGTGCCACACTTTGTAGGAATTTACTTATTCTAAAAATGAAGACGTGGTGAAGGCTTTGAGCCTCCATGAGGCTTGGTTCTGTAGGGGCTGGGCTGTGGCATGATCCTGTTCCAGCAGTACTCAGAGCTGGAAGCTGTAATACACAGGATTTTGGGAATCTAGTCTGCGAAGTGACAAGTAAGATCTGGCATTTCATTAGAAGACCAGAAAATGAGGTGCTTTGAAAATAAGTCTTGCTAGTTTAGACGGGGATTGTCTTGTCTCAGACGTACTTCCTCCTGTCAGACCCGAGCTTAATTTCTTCTTACTTTTATGCTCTTATGATGCTTAGCTGCTGTTAATTCTTACGATTTAAAATGTCTTTGAGGAATTACAAGTTCATGAAGGAAATGTGGACTTCCTGCTACCAAAATACCGTAGCATTTTGGAAGAGGCGGATCAGCTGCTTGAGGAATACAAGAGACAACCTGCACATCTTGAGAGACTTTATGGTTGGTTGATCAATTCAGCTTTTTATTTAAATGCAACTTAATGTCCAGAGAGCACGCTGGACATGACTGAAATAGTTATGAAGTCAGTATTAGCAGAATCAAAATAATTTGGTAAGCGGGTACACTTGGGTAGCTTCAGGACAACAATAGGTATGTAAATATATATGTCTGTCTGGTCATACAGCCATGGCTGCATATTTACACAATGTTTTTGATCATAAAAGTCTAAAGTTAAAGGTGAGGCAGTAAAAGCTAGCACATACTGAAAATGGCTTGTATGGGACTACAAACTTTGAGTAACTCTTTAAAGGTTCTCAAGAACTGTTCACCTGAGAACTTCTGAAATTGATTTGGCATCACAAGCGTATCGCTGAAAATGAAAATACCAGGATTATTTGCAAGTGACTTTTCTACTTTTTGTTTAATCGGCAGCTTCTTATATTCAGATGATCCCTGTCTTTATGGACATGATTAAGAACCGTATTCAAACTCAGGATGGCATTTAAGAATGTACACAAGCTAAATGAGAATGATTAAGTTCTGAGTGGTTAAGTTTTGCAACACATCAGAAAAAGAGAAAAATGCACATGGGGTGGGAAGGGAGGCTCGTAGGAGATGATCTAACTAGTGAAGGAAATTCTGTAACCTTCTCTGGTGTTCCCCGTACAGCTTCCAGCTCAGAGAACTCTCTGCCAGACACCAGCTTTAATAAGCCTATGTACATACAGCGTAAGCAGAGTCCTCCTTGCCCGTCCTGTCATAGTTCCTCTCTCTTTAGTGTTTCAGATGTGGGTAATTCTAAGGCAGAAATACACACTTTGGAATGAAGCTGGAATCTGGGCTCTTCTAACAGGCTTTTGGGTTTGTTTAAAAGTAAATGATTGTTTAAAATACGCAGTTTAAAAAGAGTCTTTTCTCTAAACCCAGAATCAACTAGAATAGTTGGTACATAATAACGAGTTAAAAGTAGAGAGACCTCATAATGAAAACAAGGCAAATAATAACTCCTGGGATTTTACCTTTGCAGGTATGATCACAGATCTCTTCATAGATAAATTTAAATTTAAAGGCACCAATGTGAAAACTAAAGTTCCTCTTCTTCTGGAAATGCTGGACGGCTGTGATCAAGATGGACTAATCGCTTTTTTTGAGGCTGCAGCCTGACAAGGAAAAATCAGAGTAATTTCTCTTTTTTTTTTTTTTTTTTTTTTTTTTTTTAAATCAAGGCAGTTCAGTATCAAGTCTAAAACACTTCTTAAGAAAAACACTTTTACTCTTTTGTTGTACTGTCAGCTCTTAGGTTTTATTCATATTTATTATCATACTGAATACAGTAGTCAACTTCAGTTCATGTAAACTGTTGGGTATGTTAAGTGCGCGCAGAGTTTCTATGTACGCAATGTTCTTCATAGCTAAAGAAAACTTAGCATCAGATGTAAATACCAAATACCTTTTTTGCAAAAATGTTTTCAGTGCTGTTAAAGACCTACGTGCAGTAGTCTGTTCTCCAGTTGTAAGAATGTATGAAGAAACTGGGTTTCAGCGACTTAGCCAGATTTAGAAGAAATTTGTGTGTTAAACCACGCATAACGATGTTATTTGCCTGCTGCACTGAGAAGGCGGTACGAGAATCTCGGCAGATTGATGTGGCTGGTGTGTGCATAGAGGGGGGAGAACCCTCTTTGAATTTTAGACTGAAGATGCCTGCTTTGAAAGCTACACCTTGGCTCTTGTTTAAAGAGCGGATGGCATTAAACTTCCTCCGTCCTTCTCCTCTGTGTGTTCTTCATTTCAGAAGTCCCTGTATTTAGAATCATAGAATCGTTTAGGTTAGAAAAGGCCTTTAAAAGATCATTAAGTCCGACTGTTAACCGAGCACTGCCAAGTCCACCGCTAAACCGTGTCCCTCAGCACCACATCTACACGGCTTTTAAATACCTCCAGGGATGGGGACTCAACCACCTCCCTGGGCAGCCCGTGCCAGGGCCTGACCACCCTTTCGGTGAAGAAATTTTTCCTAATATCCAATCTAAACCTCCCCTGGCGCAGCTTGAGGCCGTTTCCTCTCGTCCTGTCGCTTGTTACTGGGGAGAAGAGACCGACCCCCACCTCGCTACAACCTTCTTTCAGGTAGTTGTGGAGAGCAATAAGGTCTCCCATGAGCCTCCTTTTCTCCAGGCTAAACAACCCCAGTTCCCTCAGCTGCTCCTCATAAGACTTGTGCTCTAGACCCTTCACCAGCCTTGTTGCCCTTCTTTTGACACGCTCCAGCACCTCAATGTCTTTCTTGTAGTGAGGGGCCCAAAACTGAACACAGTATTTGAGGCGCAGCCTCACCAGTGCTGAGTACAGGGGCACTATCACTTCCTTAGTCCTCCTGGCCACACTATTTCTGATACAAGCCAGGATGCTGTTGGCCTTCTCGGCCACCTGGGCACCTATTCAGGTGGCTATCGACCAACACCCCAGGTCCTTTTCTGCAGGGCAGCTTTCCAGTCACTCTTCCCGAAGCCTGTAGCATTGCATGGGGTTGTTGTGACCCAAGTGCAGGACCCGTCCCTTAGCCTTGTTAAACCTCATACCATTGGCCTCGGCCCATTGATCCAGGCTATCCAGGTCCCTCTGTAGAGCCTTCCTACCCTCCAGCAGATCAACACTCCCAGCCAACTTGGTGTTGTCTGCAAACTTACTGAGGGTGCACTTGATCCCCTCGTCCAGATCATTGATAAAGATATTAAACAGAACTGGCCCCAATACTGAGCCCTGGGGAACACTGCTTGTGACCAGCCACCAACTGGATTTAAATCCATTCACCACAACTCTTTGGGCCCGGCTATCCAGCCAGTTTTTTACACAGCGAAGAGTACACCCATCCAAGCCATGAGCAGCCAGTTTCTCCAGGAGAATGCTGTGGAAAACGGTGTCAAAGCTTTACTAAAGTCTACGTAGATGACATCCACAGCCTTTCCCTCATCCACTGAGCAGGTCACCTTGTCATGGAAGGAGATCAGTTTAATCAAGCACACTGACCTGCCTTTCATAGACCCATGCTGACTGGGCCTGATCCCCTGGTTGTCCTGTACGTGCTGCGTGATAGCACTCAGGATGATCTATGTCCCTCGGTGCGCCCTGAGGGCCCCAGCCCGCCTGCTCCCCGGGCAGCGGCCCCGGGCGGCGCAGGGCCCTTCCCCCTGGAAACGGGGAGGTGAGCAGGGTTGTGCCGAGGTGTTCCCTAGGGAATGGTTTCCCGAGCGAACTAGAGGAGGACTGTAGGTCCTGAAGGTGTTTGGGATGTAGACTGGTTTGGTTCGACTCAGAAGATACCCTTTCAGTTGCTGAAACAGATTTGGTTCCTTCGAGCCTGCCATTACAATACCATAGCCTTTCAATGCAGCTGAGCTATCGATTGCTTGAGCCTCTGCGCTTCCACCCCCTGCTCTTTGTAGGCAGTTTTATGCTTATAAACTTAACTATTGGTACCTCATGAGAGAAACCAGGTTACAGACAAGAGCAGCCCTTAGAGCCTCACCCTTTGCTACTGCTATAGAGTTAGAAGGGGAATCTGCTTAGGCAGATCCTGAGACTTTAAATAGACTTTTCTCCCAGGTAATACCCAGTACTGGTGCAAGTGTTTAGAGCTCTTCCCCATACAAAAGAAATGGGAGCAGTTGGATCCATCTTCCGTAACGCGTGCATGAATATCTGAGGGCTGATATCATTATGGTCCACTTCTGCCGTCTACAAAAAGCTCTGGTACTCCAGCCCTCTTTTAAGCCCCAATAGCTAAGCTTACAGGATTCACATCTATGTAACAAGGTAGCACAGGATGCACTGAGCACTACATAATTGCAAAAGAGTTTTCTACCCCTTTATTCCAAGGGGGGAAAAAGAGAAAGGGGAACAGGAAGCTTCCTTTTTGCAGTAACATTTTGGCTTCCCTAGATCCTCCTCAGCTCCTGGTCTAGTTCAGCAATAGCCTGCCCTCGCTGCCCACCTAGAAGGCAAGAGACCCAGCAGCCCTGGAAAGCCACCATCGACGTGCTACAGAACAGAGCAGTTCCCTGTGCTACCAGGGAGTGGTCTGATGGTTCTCGCTTTAACATGGCTATTATCTTCTACTTAGATTCTCCAAGTATTATGGATATTTCAATAACCTCAGAACCAGAAGACAAAAAACCAAACGTTAATAATGTGCCAGACTATATCAGCGATATCCATACGTACCTTAGGGAAATGGAGGTGAGCTGCTCTCTCTTTTCTTGTTTGCATACAGCTTATGGGGGAGAAATTTCGGTTGAGAAACACATCTAAACATTGGTTACTACTACAGTGACTAAAGTAAGGCCTGCTAGAAATAGAGAAATAAGATGCTGTGTCCACTGCTGTGAACACAAGACCATTTTCTTGTGATAAAATTGATTGTGCCACGCACCAAACAGAAGCTGGAAAGTAAGATTATGGAAATATAATTTACTGATCCTAGACTTAGCATTGTTTACTTCTGGTCTGTTTAAACTGTGGTAAATGGAGCTTAAACAGTTGTTTCCCTACTGCCACTTAGTCTAAACTCAATCTTATCTGTCATCTAAACCCACAGGTGAAATGCAAGCCTAAAATGGGTTACATGAAGAAGCAACCTGATATCACAAACAACATGCGGGCTATTCTTGTGGACTGGCTGGTGGAAGTTGGAGAAGAATACAAATTACAAAATGAAACCCTGCACTTAGCTGTAAATTACATTGATAGGTTTCTTTCTTCAATGTCTGTTTTGAGAGGAAAACTTCAGCTTGTGGGGACTGCAGCGATGCTGCTTGCATCGTAAGTGAAATTGCCTAATTTAAAATTCCACTTGCTGGTCTCAAACAGATGGAAATCTTGTGGCTATCACATTTCTGTTGCCTATAGCCAGACTGACTCAGGAGGGCTTCGCACTAGAAGAAAAACCAGGAGTTATCCACCTAAAAGCTTGGCAGTTTGTATGAAACTCTGCAAGCAAGGTTCTAGGCTATGTTTGTAGGTTGCCCTAATGTGAGGATTCATTATTTCTAGCTGCAGCAGCAGCAGGCTTCTAAACAGTATTTGAGGGAATATGCACAAGGCATGTGCAAAGGAAGTTTTGCTTGCACCAATTATTAGTTTAGTGGGTTCTTCTGGAATTTCAATAACTCTGAGTCCCAAATTGCTTAGTGCTAATAAAATACCAGGCTGTTTTAGCTCTGTAATTTCAAGTTCTGCTGCTTCAAGAGCTACTGAACCAAGTGCAGCAAACTTGTTCGGCAACAGTGCCCAGCTACTTCACAAGTCAGAATTTAAATTCGCATGCTGGCTTTCATTAAATGTTGCTGGTTATCTGGTTTTCTAGTACTCAATTATTTGCTCATAACTCTTTCTCCTGGCAGGAAGTTTGAAGAAATCTACCCTCCTGAAGTAGCAGAGTTTGTCTACATCACAGATGACACCTATACCAAGAAGCAGGTTCTAAGGATGGAGCACTTAATTTTGAAGGTTTTGTCGTTTGACTTGGCAGCTCCAACAATCAACCAGTTCCTCACTCAGTATTTCCTACATGAGCAGACAAATGCTAAAGTGGAGAGCCTATCAATGGTAAGTAAGAATTAATAGCTTGGCCTGTGTAACTAGAGAGTTCTATTACTAGTAGTGCACTTTACAAGCTCTGTTTCCTAGTCCCAGTAGAAAAGAAATGCTAAAGGATTCTTCAGTCCAGGCTTCTCTGCCTCCTCCTGTTTTTAAATGTGTAGTCTCTCTGGGAGAGTTCTGGAGAGCGCATACGTTATGCCACGTGCTCCTCCAGGAGTGGTGCCACACCGCTGGAAACTTCACACTCCTGTTGCCACTTACTGTTTGAGATACTCCATTCCTATCGCAGCTGGCACTTGCCCTGGCTCAAGCATGTGCATGCTTACTCGGAGCAGGCAGAGACTGATGAACTTTAATTCGGGGTTTCTTTCACTGCTACATGTTTCCCTCTTTCTTACTTAAAACTGCCACACCTACCCACCCATTTTGGCTGAAAGGGACTTGTGGTTTTCCCCTCAACAAGCAGTGAGCTCAATCCAGAGGCTAATTTCTAAAGCAGAGCACAGATAACATTTCAGCTAAAGTTATACCAAATCCAAACTGTGTAGCAGGTACCGGAGCGCCTATATAGAAGGCTGGTCTCCCTGTGCAAAGGTCAGACCCAACTACACTCTTCCCTCTAGATCTTACCTACCTCTAAATAGAAAACGCAGTGTTGCAGAAGCATGCATTGGGAACACTGGCAGTAGCTAACAGTAGATGGTAAAAGAGAAAGCAAGTGGAAACTAGTAAAAGCTGTTCCTCCAACTGATGGCGGGATTGGAAGCTTAAATTAGGGTTCTAGGGCAACTGTTCAATGTTCTTGTGCTTCCTTTTGGAAGCCCATGATTCCCTTTCTCTCGTTTCCCTTGCAGTACCTTGGGGAGCTGAGTCTAATTGATGCTGATCCTTACCTGAAATACTTGCCGTCAGTTATTGCTGCTGCCGCATTTCATCTAGCAGGCTATACGATCACTGGACAAACTTGGGTATGTAGCACTAAACCTTGAGCCTTCACGCACCTTTATGCATGTTTAGCGTATTCGTACGTGGTTTTGCGCAGCCCCTCTGCACTCCTAGGCTGTTAATTAGGGATTTCTCCCTATGGTATTTGAAAAATGGGGGGGACACACCTTTTCTTGGAAGGAAGAGGCAGCTACCGATGCCCTGTGTTCTGGTGATCCTTCTCAAAGCTGTAAGCAGCTTCTTTGTGATGAAGAAGTGGGCGGTAAGAAAGCCTAAGCGCTGGGGGTAAGGAATACTTGTTTAGAGTATGATTGTTTTCAGGATTACCGTAAATCTACATGAACTGCTAAAATCTGAGCAGCAAGTATTAAACTACTTTGTGTTTGAGAAAAGGACACTCTGCCAACCTGCTAGAACAAGAGAGTTTTGACAGGGAGCTAAAAACTCCACCAGTGGTCGTCAGCATAAGCGAACAGAAAGGTTCAAATGTCCCTCTTCCTTTCCTTTTTCCCTCAGCCTGAATCCCTGTGCAAAGTAACAGGCTACACCCTTGAAGACATCAAGCCTTGCCTCATGGACCTACACGAGACCTACCTCAAAGCAGCACAGCACACGCAACAGTCCATAAGGGAAAAGTACAAGAGTACAAAGTGAGTATCTGTAGAGACGTACGGTAGCTGGTGTGTTACGCCCGAGTTGTCCCAGAGTGTAACTGCTTAACGGGGTGGGGGGTGAGGCATATCTTGAGTCTTCAGTGAGACTCAACTAACCAAATCTACCACACAAGTGAAACGGCGACAAGACTCCCCAGGTTTTTGCACAATGTTTTGTTCAGCAATGCTTCATGTTCCCCACCAGGCCTGCTGTATCACTACCTGAACGGTCAGATAGAAACTGGAGGAATTTTCTTGATGTTCCTACAGTTGGTAGGCAGGAGATGGTACCTAATGCTCCTAAAAAAAAAATCTGCGTCAGCATGGCAGCTGACAAGCCCCAAAATGTTTTCTGCCTTGTGAGGAATGTGCTTCGCTGCAGTATGTACGCTATTCTTTACAGCAGAGAGCACGATGACATCCTGCGTCTCTTTTTCCCTCTCTAGGTACCATGGAGTATCGCTTATTGACCCACCAGAGACACTAAACTTATTGCAATAATCAAGAGACTGATCTTTTAAAAAGATGTATATTACAAGAAAATGATGTACAGTTTTAAACATGGTTCAAAATTCTAGATGTGATCACTCAGAATATTAATACAGGTTTTGATGAGCTTAATTATGAAGTTAGTTCTATGTGGTTTTAATGTAAATCTTTTGTACATGCAATCTTGTTAAAATATTTAGCTGGGTTTTTATAAAAATGTTCTCCTCAAGCACAGAATTAACCATGCAGACCAAGGGAAGTCTGAGACTGCTTATCTAATTATAGACTAAACATTAATTAGCAGTGCATTATTATAGTAGGGCTTTTTCTCCTTCCAAGTAAGAATGACTTGGACTCCACAGCAGTATTTGTAGCATTTTTATACTGTCTAGTTTAAACTGAGAGTTAGTATAGATCCAAAAGGTGGCTTTATGGCTATAATACTGGAAGAAACTATAGCTATGAGAACACCTCGCTGGAATTGACTCCTGTGAGGCTCTTTAGGATGTGCCACTTACCGGAAGCCTTGATTGCTACGTAATGTATTGCCAGATCGCCATCAGGTTAAAGGTTGAACGCTCTGCTGCAGGGACTGTGCGGCTAAAACTAGTATACCAGTTCATACTTCTCTTCCAGTACGTATAAAATGGTCTTGCTATAGGTATTTTCTAGTCAAAGTGTAAAACTGATACTAATTTAAACCCGTGGAGTTCCCGCTGATGTGTTAGCTGTCCTGAAAGCCCATCGATACCTACTAAAAAAATTAGAGTCATCAGTCTGCTTACCTAGTACCTCTTTAGGGGCGGTGGAGGGATTAAACTGCAGGAGGGTGAACTACTGCTCTGTGCCCTCATGAGGAGGGAACGTCTTCTGGCGCAGATGGGCTGTGTGCAGAACGGTATGAATTCTGTACATCCCTCTTGCTTGGAAAGGGTTCCTCTGCGGCAGGCAGCAAGAATGTAGACCAACTGGTCTTATTTTTCCTTGGTTCTAGAAGTGTTACACAAGCAAACTAGCACATAGTTGGCATCAGATCAAGTGGACATTTACCTTCAACCTGTGTAAATGGAGTGATGCTGCCCTGTACCGGCTGTTCTTTGCATGTAAAGCAGTGAGTGCATGGAAGTGGCTTTAATTAAGCCACGTCCAGGTTGGCTAATAAACAATTTTTACATCTGATGTTAGTGGTCTTGCCGATACCTTAAAACCACTGAGCGGCAGTACTGCCATCTTAAACTGGCATTCATTTCTAAAGCTTTTGGGCAAGGGCTGCCCTGTGAAACCTGTGCCACTTCAACTTGAAGCAGATTCAACGCTGCCTGTCTGGTTATCTGGACACCCAGCAGTATAAATTCTTCACAGATGTCGAACAACTGTTATGGTGTGGGCTATTTAAAATACATCTTAAAAAAATCAGCAGCCCACTGACAAGCGTGTGTTACAGTGAGATAACTCGCATGTCTCGACTCGGTAACTAAAAACTTGCTGTTCTGCCCCCACCCCTGCTCTGCAACCTGAGCCCTCCATGAACCAACTCAGTAACAAAACTGATCAGAGGCTGCCTTTCTTGGCCAATCTGAGCTTTTTAGGATGCACTTTGACTTTTATACATGTTCTAATGTTTAATGGAGAGCCATATTTCATTGGTCTACCATGTTCTCCGATAACCTTTATTAAGCTTAATTTCAGTAGGTTGCCACTGAAAAGCTGAAACTAGTTGGGGAAAAAACTGTGCAGCGTATCATGTCTGGTGCCAAGTACTGGAAATGCTCCAGCCTTGCGGGAGAGGGAGTTTGTGTATGGAGGAACGCGTTTGCCACAATTGCGACATCAGTTTGTGACCTTGGAAGGGCAACTCAAAGCGCTGACTGGCAATTATTCTTTGAAGACGATAGAGCACAGCGCTCTTCCTGAGAAACTGGGTTCTGCCTTCCCCTTCTTTTTTTTTTTGTGGTGTGTGCTGGAAACTTTCCAAGGCCACTGAGAAATATGAACATTGGAGGAGGAGTAATTTAAAGGAAGCTTATGAATTATTTTCCCCAGAAAAGAGCAAGTAGCAGTAGTTAAGCGAAAGGACTACAGTGGCTTATAAGCTCTGTTTTCAAGAGAAGTTGTTCTGTTACTGTTCCCATAGCACAGAGAAAAATTCTCCCTTGCTGCCTGAGCTTTACTTTCAACATACCGATGAGACTTCCTCTACAGCCAAAAAAAAAAAAAAAGCTTCAGTCACGGGCTGGCATCTCTGCCCAGTGTGACTACGTTCCTCCTTCCTCACTGGCAGCTCTGGCTGCTGCAATAAATACCATCTTTTTCCATCTTCTCATTTTCTGAAGTTAATATGGGACAATTCCAGCTCTTGCTACTAATCTTTGAACAAAATATCCCGGGTTGTACTGTACGACTATTTTGCCTCTCTAGTTTAACTTCTCCTAGTCCTCTCAACATAAAGCCTGTAAGGAATGCAGGGTGCGAGATGTTATGTGTGAAGAAGAGAGAAACAGCAGGGCAAAGAACACCGTTCTTTTTCCTGAAGAAGTTTTAAGGTTGCACGGTACTGTGGAACTAAGAAGAAACTGAATCTTCACTCATTCTTGTACTCCCAACAGTGTCTTTGGGTTGGAAGACTTGACACTAAGAAAACATGCTGGTTTAGCTCCTGGAGGAATGGGGCTTTCAGTATTTGTCCCTTTCTGAAAGAGCACAACTTGATTAAAGCTTTGCTTGGCTGGGAGCAATTTTTTTTTTTTTTTTAACATTAAATTCAAAACCTGATTTGGGGAATGTAATATCTGCAACAGTAACTTCTCTCCTGTTCATATTTCATGAAATACTAAGGTCACATGTAAAATAGTCCTACGTTACTCTTGTAAATATGTGTATGTTTCCAATTTGACTTGGTTTTTGAAGAAAGCGGCTAGGTCAGATGTTTTGGAAACTTCCTTGTCTCTTCGCTTTGCCCCATTCTTAATTCAGAGCATAATTCTTTGAATATAGTTCAAGAAGCATTCCTGTCTGTTGCATGTAATATTTAATTAAACTTTTTAAGAAACTCCATTGCTGAAGTATGAGTTGCTTCCCTATGAAAGTTTTGCAGAAGTTCTGTGCTATTTTGTTAAGTACGTGCATTTCTGTTCATTTTTATACAAGGCTGAGTCAGTGAAAGGTAAAATGCAGTGATGTGGGCAAGGTCTTAGTCACAGCACGCCCTCTCCCCGTGAAGAACATTCCAAGGTATGAAACGCTTCCAAGGCGTGCTAATAGCTACCTTAATTAAAAGAAGCTTTTCCTGGCATTAAACTTGAGCCATAATTTCTTTTACTACCTGAACTCTTGACTATACCCAGTTCGCTTCGGTAATGGCAGAAGCTGTTTCATTAAAACTACATATCTTGCCTCTGCAATTGAAGTTGTGTAACTTGAGTCAGTTCAAGTTGAACTAGTGAGTTTGCTGCTGCAGCTGGATGCTAACCACGGAATGTCACTTACATGCAAAATTTTTTTATTTAAAGCAATGGTTTTATAAAATATACATAAAAGCAGGACCAGACACGGGGTATGAGGAAATAAAATTATCTACAAAAATAAGTTCAGTAATGATAGAACAAATTATGTATTATACAGCGTTTCTGAAGGGGGGATGATGGCTTTAATGAGCAGCTCTCTTCTTTTTTCTCCTTTTGTTAAATGCTTTCTTACTTGTAGTTTCTTGTTTCGAGTTGGTCTGTGTTCTGTGAGAAAACAACATTTCTATCAAAGAAGCGTACCGAATTGTTTTATTTCAAAAGAACACAGGCTGATCATCCGTAACAGGGCAACCATCCACCACGCTCAGTGCAAAGTTCAAACTCAGGTTCTAGAAAGTGTGCTACACACGACAATGAGGTTTTCCATGGCTAGTGCAGGGATGCAGCAATAAACCCCACTTCTCGGGGATAAAATTTAAGATTAGCTGTAGGGTAGCATGTAGAATCTCTGCAGCATCTCCAAGGAGCAGCTGATTCAAATCCACTTTTATGCTTTCAGTCCCTTGGGAATCATTAAGATCACTCAAATATCTATAACCATTTCAGACAGCCGCAGGTCAGCCAGGATGACCGGCCTCCTAGGACAGGAGCATGCTAGCCTAGATGTAAACTTCCTCGCTCTCGGCTATCTATGTAGTCCCCTTCATCAACTGAGACCTTTCCCAGTCTTGCCAAAATCCTGAGCTTCCCGAAATACTCCTCACAAACTCCCTTCCCCTCTTCATTTCACATGATGGTTACCTTGTTTTCCGGGGTAGCTCCTGTGGTTCCAGAATGACAACTTCTTCCTCTTCACTGTCGGACAGTACAATAGGTTCATCTAAAAAACCAAAAAAACCACAAATCCACAAACTGGTGATCAGCTTTGTACAAACAACTTCTGTAACTAATAACCACTGCATTTTCAAAGAAACAGAGTGGCTAGTGCTTAATTTGGAGCCCTCTTACACTACAGAAATCAGGTTTTCTTTTGAAGAAAATGGAAGTGAGCAGGTGAAGTGAAAGTAGCAAATGGGTGTAACTCAAATGGAAGGTGGCTATGACGGTTCTCCTTTCTTGCTAAGGACCTCTTTCAGGTTTTAATTCTAGACTGTTAATAACGTGATATAATAAGCATATCTGATATCAAGATAAATAAATACTTACCCTTCTTAATTTCCCTCATCGTACTTGTATCCTCAGTTTCCATTTTCTGACATTCAAAAGCAGTAGCTTCACTTTCACCTTCCTCTTCCGCTGCCTCTTCCCTCTCAGATTCTTCAAGGTCTCCCCAGGAGTTCTCTATTCCTTCCCCAATTTGGGCTGTCCCGGGAGTGTGCAGTATTGGTTTGGCAAAACTGAAGTAGTTAAGAAAAACGTCAGTGTTTGCTGGGAAACTCTTTGTATTCTGAGAGAAAACTGGTTGTTTTTTAAGCTGTACCTTTTCTCCCCTGGGGAGATCATCCGTAAAGGGGAGCTGAGAGAGAGTACTACTTCTCCAGTTCCTGTAACAATCAGTCACTTCAGACCTCAGTTTTGCACTTTATGCTAGGAATGAAGTTACCTAAAAGCAGTTAGAACCAAGCCCAAGGTGATGTTGACATTTCCTCCGAAGGCTATAAGGCTACCTAAGCTGCGAGGAATCGAGGATGTGTGTTTAGCTTCTACTAGTGCTAAGGCAGGGGATGGGAAGCCTGGTTTTCCCCTGAATAATACAACAGAAAAGATACACTTCTGAAGGAGGGTCAGCTTTAGTGATGATTTCTTCTGCTTGTTCTTCCACGTTGTTAGTATCAACAGCAGCGCTTTCCATTTTGAAGGCAGTGATCTTTTGATTCGGTATAGATTCTGCAAAGCCGAACTTCCCACCTTCTTTCCTAGTTATTCAGTGACAGACATTATTTCAGGATGTTTCACACTTAAAAATGCTTTCTCTTTTTAAGTTCAAATATACAAATACTTGCTATTTAAAACAAACACAAGTGAAAACAAT